TTTTATTGATTTCAGCCCTAAGTTTATTTCTCGCCATTTACTCCTTTGGGGTATGGTTTTCTTGTTTTGTTCTAGAGCTTTTGGGTGTGCTTTTAAGTTGTAGTATGAGATATCTCCAAAATTTTTATGTAGACACATAGTACTGAGAACTTGCCTCTTAGAACAGCCCTCATACAAGCTTAGGTGTGTAATATATTCATTTTATTCAATTCTAGAAAGACCTTAGTTTCTTTATTAATTTCTGTTTTGATCCATGTGGTGGTTTGAATGACAGTAGCCCCTATAGGCTCATAGATTTGAACAGTTGGTCACCAAGGAATAATACCATTTGAGAAGGATTAAGTACAGGTTTTTAAGCATGTCCTTATTTTTCTGTGGATTTTCTCAGAGTCTTTTATGTTCCCCTTTTATTTCTAGTTGTGTTAATTTGGGTATTCTCTCTCCACCTTTTAGTTAATTTGTGTAAGGGTTGTATGTGGCCTTGTTGGAGGAAATGTGTCAGTGGGGGTGGGCTTTAAGGTTTCAAATGCCCACATGAGGCCCAGTCTCTCTCTCTCTCTCTCTCTCTCTCTCTCTCTCTCTCTCTCTCTCTCTCTCTCTCTCTGTGAGTGTGTGTGTGTGTGTGTCTCCCTCTCCCTCCCTTCCTCCCTCTCTCTCTCTTTCTCTCTCTCTCCCTCCCTCTTTCCCTCCCTCCCTCTCCCCCCTCTCTGTCTGCCTGAGGATCAGGATGTAACAGTCTCAGCTACTGCCTACCAACATGCCTGTCTGCTTCTCACCATGATGATAATGGACTACTTGTCTGAAACTGTAAACAAGTCCCCAGTTAAATGCTGTTTTTATAAGTGTTGTCTTGTTTGTGGTATCTCTTCACAATAATAGAACAGTGACTAAGACAAAGATACAGTCCCCAAAGTTATTCCCTCTGAGCACATTTGACTTAATTATGAAAAAACTTTAAAAAAGAAAAAAATACTTTTTTATTCTTTCCCAAAACAAAGAGTACTTAGAATGCCCGGGAAAACAGTGTTTTGAAAACCCAGAGTCTATCTCTCCTTCCCAGACAAGGCTGTGCTCCCAGCGAACATCCGTGTGCACCGCGACCCCTGCTGGACATGTTCTTCTCTGCAGTCACCTCACAAACAGCAGACAAAGAGGCTCAGGACAATGCACAGCACAAGGTCAGGGACTCAGCTCTGCCCTCTTGGGGATGAATGAAGCCAGGCACGATCTCCAGAGGTGCCCCAGAGACAAACTGGACAAGAAGCAGAAACCCAGCTACGTGGAGCCAGTTGGCACCTGCATCTCAGCCCTCAGAAACACCATTCTCTACCGGAACAATAAAACTGGTCCTGGAGGATTAAGACTCTAATGACGGGCATCCGTGAGAGAACCTCGCGGCCCTCAGTCTCCTGTGCTGTCTTCCTGCCATGGAATCCATAGCGCCTCAGCTCCCAAGACAAATCAGGAAACTGTTTATAAAGGGGATCAGATTGGAGAATCTGGGAGGAGAAACTGGAGGTAGGCAATAGGAGAAGAAGGGGGAGGGAAAGCAGATAAGAGAGTGGATTGTAGAACTTTAAGACAATTCTGAAGCCATTTCTGACAACTCTCAGTACTTCCCCACCTCCCCTGGGAACCAAGGACATAACAGCTATGCATGCACGTACTGAGATGTTGGGAACTTTCCATCTCCCTGAATAGGGGCAAGATAACCCTTAGGTGTTGACTCAGTTACCGATGTTTTGACTTAGTCCCTGGGAAGGGGCAAAGTGACCCCCAGAAGTTTCCCCTTACCTCATCTGATCTGGCAACCACTCTCCAGCCAATTATTGGTAATAGACTTTTTATTTATTTATTTATTTATTTATTTATTAAAGATTTCTGTCTCTTCCCAGCCACCGCCTCCCCTTTCCCTCCCCCTCCCCTAATTAAGTCCCCCCCCTCAGCCCGAAAAGCAATCAGGGTTCCCTGTCCTGTGGGAAGTCCAAGGAACCCCCCACCTCGATCCAGGTCTAGTAAGTTGAGCATCCAAACTGCCTAGGCTCCCACAAAGCCAGTACGTGCAGTAGGATCAGAAACCCAGTGCCATTGTTCTTGAGTTCTCAGTAGTCCTCATTGTCCGTTATGTTCAGAGAGTCCGAGCAAGGAACTCAGGACCATGAGGGGTGCACCCACACACTGAGACAATGGGGATGTTCTACTGGGAACTCACCAAGACCAGCTGGCCTGGGTCTGGAAAAGCCTGGGATAAAACCGGACTCTCTGAACATAACGGTAATAGACTTTTTGAATAAGCCAATCATAATAGTTAAAGGACAACCCCCAGACACCCCTTCCTTCTGTGGTTTTTCCCTTTAAAAATAGCCTGTACCAGACATCGGGGCTTGTAGCCTCCCGACTGCTGGAGGACCCTGTCATGACAGAATTAATAAAATCCTCATGCTTTTACATCAGCTGTAGTGAGAGATGGTCTCTTGGGGTGACTCCTCCTCCTCGGTGATTGGACACTAGGATCCAACATTTGATTCCCTGACCGGGAAAATGAGTTGCTCCCAGACCCACTCTAGATCCAGTTGGAGGTATGAATGAGCTCATTTTTATGTCTGTCTGTTTGTGTATTGTGTTTCTGTTTCTGTGTAATTGTGAATCAGTAATTTGAAAATTGAACCTGTGCAGGGTTCAATACATTGAAACAGGACCAAGAGAGGGGACAGACCTCTGGCCCTGAGCCCTGAAAGACTTTTCACGGGCATTAGTGGGAGGGAGGGGTGACCAGGTCACCCTAGTCCCCGGAGGAGGCATGATCCTCCATCTGTATTTTTGGATCTGCTGCCGCGCAGCTTCTGATTTTGAATCTATGTCTGTCTTTTTGTTCTTGTGTATTTTCAGTTCTGCACCAGAGTGGTGGTGAGAGCACCAGCTTCTGGTTTTGAGTTTGTGTCTGGTTTTGAGTTTGAGTTTCTGAGTTTGTGTATTTTTGTTCTTGTGTATCAGTTTGTCTTTGATAAAATGGGACGACAATTAACTACCCCTTTGACCCTGACTTTAGATCATTGGAAGGAGGTTAAAGATCGAGCTCGTAATCAATCTGTGGAAATCCCAAAGAAACGCTGGCAGGCATTCTGTTCCTCAGAATGGCCCACTTTTGAGGTGGGCTGGCTGTGAGACGGGACATTTAACTTGGATACTATCTTACAGGTCAAGGAAAAAATCTTCCAAACCTGCCCTCATGGCCACCCAGACCAGGTTCCCTACATCATTACCTGGGAAAGCTTATCCAGAGACCCCCCACCATGGGTCAAGCCATTTGTCCCACCTGTAGGGACTCAGAACCCGATAAGGGCCACAAGGCCATCATCAGCTCCCCTGATTTGGAAAGCAGAGACAGCAATGGCAGTTGCCCCTCCTCCGAGCCTTTTGTCTTCTCTTTCCTGTACAGGAACGAACAAAGCCCAGAATCCAGGCACCTCTTGTTCTTCCTGATACCCAGCCAAGCTCCTCCGGCATGGCAGACTTCTCCCTCCCCTGTCCCCACATAGACACTGAGTGCTGAAGTTTCCAGGACTAGGGCCCAACCAGCGGGGCTCCTCAGGAACCAGTGTGGAGGAGGGAGAAGAAAAAGGGGAGGGAATCTCCCAAACATTCCCCTTTTTCTCAGACCCTCAGGCTATGACTGGACTATAGAATCTGTTCTGACTACCCACCAGCCCACTTGGAATCTCAATACAGCAGCAGGTAGGGGGTGGCTATCTCAGGGGGTTGGTTGCAAGGCATCCCACTCATTTGGTCAAGGTAAGAGAGGTTCTTCAGGGGCCAGTTAGACCAACAGTTGTGTTTCTTAAGATTTCCAGGCGTTTTACTCCCTTTGACCAAACCTCTGATAGGCAGTAGGCAGCTGGAGCTATGGCCTTCATAGAGCAGTCAGCACCAGAGATAAGGAGAAAGTTACAGTGGTTAGATTTAAATGAAGGGACTGAGTAAGTGTTTTAGAAGCAGGAGGCAGAGAAAGTGAAAAGAAAGTGAGGGAGGCAGGCAGCAAAAGAAAGAGGACCAGAGGGATCATAATCAAGAAAGAAATCGGTAAACAATTTTGGCCACAGTGGTAGGAGAAAAAGAAGAGAAAGAATTAGGCAGATAGGGAGGCAACAGAAAACAGCAGCTTCAGAGACTGCGCGCCTCAGACAGAGCAGCCCTTGACCTGGCCGAATGCAGACTTGTGGGACCACTGCCTGGGCCCAGTGACAAAAGAAAACAAACAGTGAAGAGGAGAAGCCCTACAGCCGCACAAAGAGACTCTTCCTAAAGAAGCTGCTGAGCAGAAGTGAGGGGTGGAGAACGGCACCGAGCACAGCCCACCTGAGAGGCCTACTCAGAGGCCACGGTGACCACGCTGGAGCACAGCAGCCTGACACCCTACGTTCCTTACGCTGTGCACCCAGGCTGGGTGTACAAGAATAAGGGGAGGGGTTCCCCCTCGCTGTGTCTAAAACATTTGACTGTGGACACAAGGGCTGAGCACTCTATGTGGAAACAACCATTATGAACTGTAGATCTGGGAACTATAGGGTTGGGGGAAAGGACCAGTGACTCTGAGTGTCCCATACCCTTCATTAGAAAGAGACTTGCTGACAAAGTCAAAGGCCCAGATTAGGTTTAGGTGATCAAAAGCCTTTTTGTTTTCACTCCTTGCTGTTCCCGAACGTTGCAGGGAAAAGCAGGCTGCTCTCAGCCTTAGCCATGCCCACCTCGCTGAGGAAGCTGCCTTGGTCTGAGGAAGCTGCCTTGGTCGCAGCCCAAGCCCAGCCCAAGCCCAGGAACTCTGCTTAGAGCCGCCTGCCCGTCTCCGCAGGCAGCGACTGACTGAAGTGAGGAGGGGCCCGGTAGGTGCTGGAGCCCAATTCCAAACAGCCTTCCCGAGCTGCTTGCAAGTTTCACAGAGAACAACTGCTCCCAGCTCTCAGACCGCAGCTTCAAACAAAGCTGCCCAAACAGAGCCGGTTATGGTGGCCGAGATGAGCAGACTTACAGATGGCAGCAGTTTCCTCAAAGATGGTGAGCGCAAAGTGGGGGGCGGCGGTGGTAGATGGGCAAGACATCATATGGGCAGCGGCACTGCTGCCAGGGACCTCAGCCCAAATGCAGAATTAATAGCCCTGATCAAGGCACTAGAGCTATCAGAAGGACAAAAAGTAAACATCTACACGGATAGCCATTATGCGTTTGCAACGGCCCACATCCACAGGGAGATCTATAAGAGGCGGCGATTGTTAACATCTGCCGGAAAGGAGATTAAAAACAAGACTGAAATCTTGGCGCTATTGAAGGCCCTCTTTCTCCTCAAAAAAAAAAAAAAAAAAAAAAAAAAAAAAAAAAAAAAAAAGGCAATGACCTTGTAGCCAGAGAAAATCGTATGGTGATAAGGTAGCCAAGCATGCTGCACTGGGCACAAGAATATTGTCTCTGATGGAGATACCAGATTCTCCAGAGTCAGAGAATTAGTTCCAATACTCTGCCCAGGATCTAGAAACTTAATGCAGACTTTGATGAACAACAAAAAGCTTGAAAGTTTCGGGACAAAATCATGTTACCCAAGAAGGATGCCTCTGAGCTGGTAGCCCAAACGCATCGATGGACTCATTTAGGGAAAAAAAAAGATTAAATCTCTAATAAAAAAGACAGATTTTTTATATTCCAGGCCTTAACTCCCTCATACAGCAGATAATGTCGACTTGCGTCCCCTGAGCCAAGGTAAATGCAGGGCGTCAGAATGCCCCGGAGGGCATTAGAATAAGGGGAGACTGACCTGGTACACATTGGGAAGTGGACTTCACTGAGATAAACCGGGAAAATATGGTAATAAATATCTCCTAGTTTTTATAGACACCTTCTCCGCTTGGACAGAAGTTTTTCCTACCAAATGAAAAATAGCTCAATTGGTAGTAAAGAAAATAAAGAAGAAATCTTCCTGAGGTTTGGCCTGCCCAAGGTAATCGGGATTGTTGGTAAAACTGCTTTGTTGCCCAGATAAGTCAGGATGTGGACAAGACTGGGGAAAAAATTACTGACCCCAGAGTTCAGGACAGGTGTGTGTGTGTGTGTGTGTGTGTGTGTGTGTGTGTGTGTGAGAGAGAGAGAGAGAGAGAGAGAGAGAGAGAGAGAGAGAGAGAGAGAGAGAGACCGGCGAGGAATGACTGGGCAGCCCCCCCTTTCCTTTGTCCTGTTCTGGGTCTGAAACCCCCTTTCAGGATCCTATGTAAAACAGTATATAACCCTAATGCTGTTCTTCCCAGACTGTTATCTATCAATCTGAACCAGCCCGGGCACCCGGAAATCTCGCATCCGTTCCAGAATTGTGACTCCTGGGGTATATCTGGAGGGACGTGAGAAAAGCGCAGCAAAATCTCCACAGCCAGAACAGCAACCGCCAGCTCACATCTGTTTGTGCCGCAATCCACGCCTCCTTAAGCTCTTTTGCTTTGTTATCCTGGCCCATCTGTAACAATCCCCATGCACCCCAGAAACTGGCTTGGCAGATTTCCTCACAAACCGGAGAGGTACTATGGACCAATTCCAAAACAGATGATTTCTGCCAACTAGTAGCAGAGCTAGCCTCCTGGGATATCCGAGATGCATATCCCCCACAGCTGTCCCTGGAGGCTGGCAGAAGATTTTCCCCTGTAGGAAATATTCGGGTACAGGGGTCCAGAACACAGATGCCACTTGGGAAAGCTGTATTTTTATACTGTGGTGCCTGAAAATGTAAAACTACTGGGGACGCTTATTGAAAACCTAGTTCTTTCTGGAACTGGATAACTGTTGGTAAAAATTATACTTCCAAAGCAATGCTCCATGTGGAGCACAGGGACCTGTCACATCTCCCACACTTGTCTCCCAGGGGCAAGCAGCAGGACTGTCTCCATGGGTGTCAGGAAGGACTTGGGGCATGCAATGGTATTTCCCAAACAGGATACAGCAGCAAGATTTAGGTGCCACCTTCACCATTAAGCTAAAGAAAGAGAAGCAAGTACTATCTGACCAGGACCTGCTGCTGCCAGCTGGACTAAGCTACTCTCCCTGCTTCTCTGCCGGCACCTCCCACCACCAGCCAAGGACTATTCAACCTTGTGCAGGGAGCCTTTTCCTTGCTAAATAGTACTGAGCCCAGCTTGACACAATCTTGCTGGCTATGCCTGTCAGCAGGATCTCCCTATTACGAGAAAATAGCCTCATCTGGCAGTTTCAACACTCATACGTCCTGTAGATGAGGGCAACAGAAAAAGTTAACCTTAACAAAACTATGTTTGGGGACTCCAACCCCTCAATATCAGTACCTGTGTAACCTAACTCTCCCAGATCCCAAGAGGACAGGAAACTGGTACTTGATGACCTCTATTGATTTATGTTGCACCAGCAACATTGGTTTAACCCCTTGTATCTTTGATGATACTGCTAATTTCTGTGTACTGATCCAATTAGTCCCCCAAATTTACTAATATCCCAGGATTGGGATATTTGACCAAATAAGAGGGGGAAATGTAGAACTTTAAGACAATTCTGAAGCCATTTCTGACAACTCTCAGTACTTCCCCACCTCCCCTGGGAACCAAGGACATAACAGCTATGCATGCACGTACTGAGATGTTGGGAACTTTCCATCCCCCTGAATAGGGGCATGATAACCCTTAGATGTTGACTCAGTTACCGATGTTTTGACTTAGTCCCTGGGAAGGGGCAAAGTGACCCCCAGAAGTTTCCCCTTACCTCATCTGATCTGGCAACCACTCTCCAGCCAATTATTGGTAATAGACTTTTTGAATAAGCCAATCATAATAGTTAAAGGACAACCCCCAGACACCCCTTCCTTCTGTGGTTTTTCCCTTTAAAACTAGCCTGTACCAGACATTCAGGGGCTTCTAGGCTTTCAACTGCTGGAGGACCCTGTCATGACAGAATTAATAAAATCCTCATGCTTTTTTTTTTTTTTTGATTTTTCGAGACAGGGTTTCTCTGTAGCTTTTTGGTTCCTGTCCTGGAACTAGCTCTTGTAGACTAGGCTGGCCTCGAACTCACAGAGATCCACCTGCCTCTGCCTCCCAAGTGCTGGGATTAAAGGCATGCACCACCATCGCCCGGCCAATCCTCATGCTTTTACATCAGCTGTGATGAGAGATGGTCTCTTGGGGCGACTCCTCCTCCTCGGTGATTGGACACTAGGGTCCAACAGGATGAAATCTTCATGTTCCACTCCCTGAAGCCATCCCTTCATTTAGATCCCTCCCAGGAATACCTAACAGCTTGGGTTTTATTTGATTCTAGACGTGGCCAAATTGACAACCAAGACTACCATCACCGTACCCATGGTGAATGGTTAAATCCTATCCTTACCTCGAAATGTGAAAGAATTCCTCTTTATCGTAATTCAGTTTACTGCTCTGGTGTCTCCATCACTTACACTTTCGACCAAGGACTGTCTCCTTTTACCAAATTTGAATCAGGGGCTTTCTGTAATCTTTTTCCCCATGATTCCCCAACATTAGGCTTATTCATTAGTTCAGTGCCTCTCGAGTTTTGAACCTACATATGTTGCATGGGTGTGGCAATCTGACTGTAATCCCAATGCTCAGAACAAACATAAAAAACTTCCATATTGTCGGGCAGTAGTAGCGCACGCCTTTAATCCCAGCACTCAGGAAGCAGAGAGAGGCAGATCTCTGTGAGTTTGAAGCTAGCCTGGTCTACAGAGCAAGTTCCAGGACCGGCTCCAAAGCTACAGAGAAACCCTGTCTCAAAAATAAATAAATAAATAACTTCCATATCGAGACAGCTAACTAGACTAGCCAAATCATTGAGTCATTGAGTTCTGGCTTCAGTTAAGAGACACTGGCTTCACTATCACACCAATCATTATCTCGAATTTCACCATAGAGTCTTTGTCTGGTGACGGATGGAGATAAAATCCCTCATCAGAGCAAGGGACTGAGCCCCAAGGTCCAATTGAAGAGCAGAAGGAAGGAGAAGATGAGCAAGGAAGTCTGGACCATGAGGGGTTGGTCCACCCACTGAGACAGTGGGGCTGTTCTAATGGGAGCTCACCAAATCTAGCTGGATTGGGACTGAATGAGCATGCGATCAAACCGGACTCTCTGAATGTGGCTGACAATAGGGGCTGACAGAGAAGCCATTGATAAAAGCACTGGGACTTGTTTCTACTGCATGTACTGGCTTTTGGGGATCATAGTCTATTTGGATGCATGTAGTAGGAGCTGCGGGCTGTGTTCCTGCCACCCCAGCTCCTGGTCGCCTGGCTACCTTATGCCCCGAAATAACAACACACAAACTGTATTCTTTTAAACACTGCTTGGCCCATTAGTTCCAGCCTCTTATTGGCTAGCTCTTACATATTGATCTAACCCATTTCTAATAATCTGTGTAGCCCACGAGGTGGCTTACCAGGGAAGATCTTAACCTGCGTCTGTCTGGAGTGGGAGAACCATGGCAACTGTCCTGACTCAGCTTCTTTCTCCCAGCATTCTGTTCTGTCTACTCCGCCTACCTAATTTTCTGTCCTATCAGAAGCCAAGCAGTTTCTTTATTACTTAACCAATAAAACAGATAGAAAGATGACCCTCCTCCATCAGATGCAAAGCTTCCTAGGCCTGGATGTAGGGAGGAGGGCCTTGGACTTCACAGGGCAGGGTTCCCTGCCTTCTCTTAAGGAGGGAGGGGGAGGAAGAAGGGGGAGTAGGGGAGCAGGAGGGGAATGGGAGGAGGGGAGGAAGTGTAAATTTTTTGAATGGAAAAATAAACTTAAAAAAAGAGACACTGGCTTCAGTTGAGAGATCCTGCCTCAGTATATTAAAAAGCAACTAAGAAATACACTAACCTCTACATAGACCTACATACAAATGTGGTCACACCCAAAATGTTTGGTCACACATTTGCAAACTCACATTATACACATGTATGGGCCGAATCGAGCATATAGGAGGCTGGAGTGGCCAAGTTAATGTCAAAAACAGTGACAGTTAGAAAAAGGCACAGTTATGCCAAAAGTGTGACAGCTAGTAAAAGGCATGAAATTCAAAAAACAGTGACCTTACAAAGCCCGCGAGTAATATTCCCAGCCAAGAAGGTGCTGAAGGGGAGCAAGCGGGGAGAAGACCTGACTTGTTTACAGAAAGATGATTGGAGTTAGAGATGGGGTAAGTGCTGATGCCCTTGTACTCCCCATTAGGGGCTATAAGAGCCTGGCTCGTGCAGACGTGACTGTTGATGTGATTGGCTAATTCCCCTTCAACTTCTGGGATTTGTGAGTTTTTGCTTTATAAATTGCATGCTGTAAGGAAATAAATGAGTTCCTGCTTGACTTGACTCCCTGCTGCATCTGACTGTCTCTGAGACCTGGAGGCGGGGGGGGGTCTACAGACGGACCCCACACACATGCATACATACATATGATAAAAAAAGTATCATCAAGAATCGTTTATTCTTTTGTAAGAGCTCCATTCTACTTTTCATTGGTTTAAATACTTTTTTAAGAATTTATTTAAATTCATTTTATGTACATTGGTGTGAAGGTGTCAGATGATCTGGAATTGGGGTTACAAACAGTTGTGAATTACCATTACCATGTAGGTGCTGGGAATTGAACCCAGGTCCTCTGGAAGAACAGCCATCTCCCCAGTCCCTGGTTTAAATCCTTAAGGGTCACAGAACTGGCACCCAAATAGTCCAGCAAGAATTTCCACATAAAACCTGAGAAAGCTTTAAAAAAAGGATTCTAAACACTCAAAAGAATGAAGTCGAGCACAGCTTTTTGGTGGCTGAATTTTCTCTGGTGGGCTCTGTTTGCTGGTGGCTTCCTGGCTCAGTGCTAGTGGCAAAAATCAAGTGGCTCTTTTCAGAGGCCCTGCTACGAAACACTTAAATGGAGTTTATGAGCAGTGGGTGGTACATTACTTGGGAATGGCATGGACCCAGAAACTTCCCAGAGTTGGGGCAGTAAACATAGCTCCCAGATATGGCAGTAAATGTACCTCCAGCCTCTCAGGGAACCGAAGGGGAAGAGTCAGCTACGAGTACACCATGATCTAAGTTACACAACAGTTTAAGTTTTACTCATGCAGACAAAAAAGTTACAGATACTCAGTAAAGGGAAGGTACAGATGAAAAATAAAACCATCCAAACAGGTTACAGTGTGCTTAAAAATATGCATAGGCTTGGAGAGGAGATATGGACAGTCATAAATAAAAGAAACACATAGTTCTAAAATAATAAAATCCTTAAAAGGGAGTAAAGTATTATAAAAGAAAAAGCTACATGAAGATGGGAAATACACAGAGACTCTGGATCCTATTTGTTAT